AACTTCGGCTCCACCACGTGGGCCATGGATATGATCCTGGCCTTCGCGTGTGGACTGGGGATCTTCCTCCTGTTACTGCCCTTCCTCCCGGGTAATCCATCAGTACCACCACCACCTCCTCTGCGAAAGAAGAAAGGCTGCAGAAAGGTGAGAGATCCTCAGGCCAGGCCCCACAATGAATATTCTCTCTCTCTTTTCGGCAACGGGGACCAAACACATGACCTTGCACTTGCAAGTCAGGCCCTCTGCAGCTGAGCTAAATCCCCAGCCCCTTCTTTTCCTCTTCTTGCTGCTGCTTTTCCAATCCGGAGGAGATAAACATAAGAGGGGAAGTCTCAGGCAACATTACAACACCATTCTTCTCCTTGTTTCTTTTTACTTTCTTGAAGCACAGATTTTGTTTTTCCTTTTTTTTTTTTTTTGACAAATCAGACACTGTGACCTCTGACAGTGTATTTAGGTGGCCCAGGACAGGATTCCCAAGGGTGCTGGGAACCTGTATAGTAAGACAGGTCCAGGACACTGGTTCTTAGAATCCCTTCTTGCAGCAAGTTGCTCTGGCCACGCCTGTTTTGTGTGTGGGGCTGATCCACGGGCAGTGCTGAGCCCTGGAGCGTCTCCTGCAGAGCCTAGGATCACCTGTGTCCTCCGGAAGCAGAACGCACTGTGCAGGTGAATGAGCCTGCGGATGCCTCTGCTTGCTAAGATCCTGTGCTGTGGAGAGTCATGCACGGTAGAGCTTGCTTATGAAATCTGTGTTTTCCAAAGAGGAAAAGCAGCAGCCACTTTAAAAATGAACTATGTTGGCTACATTAGAAAGTTCTACTCTCCAAGGACACCAGTAGCACTGTCTAGGGAGAAGAGAGAGAGAATTGGACCCCAGCCTGTGTTTCTTTCCTGCCCCTCAGTACCACATGGTGAGGAAGGACTGGAGCAAGATCAGAAAGAGGAGCTGCGCTCTGAGAGGTGAGGCTTGGTTCTCCAGCCCTGCAGGTGACTTCACCTTGCTGGTCCTTGAGTGGTTAGAGCCTCCCTCTCTGAGGATGTCAGGAGGGAGGCCTGAGAGGGGGCTGCTGGAGGGAAAGCAGAGCC